GAAAATACCGAATTGTATACAAACTCTAACGATATAAATGAAAACAAAATTGTAAATAAGTTTAATAGTTGAATTTATGAGTCAATTGGAGCTAGATCATCATGAGAAATCTGGAAGCATTGGACGGCTATTTCATCCTAGTATTAGAGGTTAGGCGTTCGCACGCAAAACTGACAGATTTTCTGTTCGAATTTCACGAGACAGGATCGTGAATATGCACTGCTGAAAAGTCCCATACTATGGTGAAATGGCCGTCCAGTGCTTACAGATTCTCCATAGTGGTTTAGCTTCAATTGACTCATGAATTCAACTATTAAAATTACTATAATATCCACAAAACCCCTCTCTAATTAAAATTGTAAATAAATTGAATATATTTGAAGTAGATTTTATAAATATCATCACTGATTTCTACATATTTCAAATTAAATAAATAATCAAAGGACATTGATGAAATGTCTTATATAAAGTATAAAAACTAAGTACGAAATTTAAAATTAATTTTCTGTTATTGTAAACCTATTATTTAGAAGATTATCACTTTTTAGCATTCGGATGATCATGATGCCACATTTTTATTTTGATTATGGAATATAAGATATAGTCGACGTTTTTGAAACCATTCTGAGTTGCCTTTAACTTGTGGTTTAATCATATGTCGACAATATTCCAATAAAAAATATTTATGAGTTAATGCCTATAAGCCTCGTAGAGCTTTACTAATCAATGAGTTTATCCTAGCATTGTTTTATGAAGAATACCGATAGTAATTTATTAGTTTAGATTAATAATATCATAAATGAATATTCGCTAGAAATATTGTGATAACTATAAATAAGTTAACTGTTCATTTCTATTGTTTGTAGCTCTTTTTTATGGAAAATATCAGTTGATGTAGAAGATATAGTTTTGTGTCTTTTTATACACTAAGCATCTTGATTGATCACTTAATTTTAGAATGATCATGTAAGATCATTTATTTCAATCTTTTAATATTTTTATTAAATTGTTAATATATTTTAATAAGACTATCTTCTCATTGTACTTAATAAACAGCGATTGAGTCATTCTCATGCTTAGCACTAGACTGAAAGATATTTGTTAATCAGTGTTTGCGGAGATACACACATCCACCAAGTTTTGCGTTATTTATTTCGATGTGTTTGTTTGGATTAAACAAACCAGTAAACTAATGACAAGTTATGACCATAATGATGACTGAGATCATCATCCAATATGTCTAGTATTCTTGTGATAACTATCTTGTACGTGAAAAGTAACTTTAGGGAGTAGAGATTTTATTATCTTCAATGTCCATAAAAAATACAGGCAAACATAGCTGCTTAGGATATATTGTAAGCCTTTAAAATGATTGCTGATCATATTTGGAAATCATTGAAAGATAAGTGAAAGGTGACCAATGATATTAAAAAGACCACAACAAAACCTAAAGAACTCTATTATTTTACAGTTATAAACCTGATGCATCACTAGGAAAAGGAATTTCAGCAATACTATAATTTATAGACAACTTTTGAACGAATCTTAAGTGACCTTGAGACATATTATCCAATCACAAAACAATTTGTATAGAATAAAAATACATTATACAAAACCAAAGAAGTAAATTGGATACACTTCTTTTACATGGTTCAGCAATTTGTCGAGGTTAGAAAGGGGTTCAGAGGTTTTAAAATCGTAATGCATACAGTAGAAGAACTCATCCATATGGCTCCATAATAGTTGGCCTCTGGAGCCATGATAAGATGGCAAAAACTCTTTCAGCCTGGACCACATAGCTTAGGTATTATTTGGGTGCACTCCGGTTGTCGGGTCCACAAAATGCCGCTTGTGGACAATGACACAATGCATATAACCAAGTTTGTGTAGGCGTCTGTACGCCCTCCAATCATCCGTATATATCGTAGTACCAGGCTGCAGCCAGTGTTACTGGTGCTTTTATTATCCAGTTCGCGATTTGCCTTAGTCTCAATCTGGATCGAGCAAAAAAACCCTATTCTAGCAGACTTCTTCCTCCGACACATATTGCATCGAAAAAGAACATCATCACGGTATTCTGCACAAGGTCCACAAGTCATGTGATTACCACAATCACAAATAAAGAAACTTCTTAGTAGTCCCATTTATTGTAGTTGTTCAATTAACTCGTTTTCTCTACAATCGGCTAGATGAGCATCAAGTACTGAAATTGGCGCAATGACCTTGAAATCCCTCAAACGTTTCTGATTGGCTCATTCATAAATTCTAGTCTCGATGGAATTTCAAATAAATGTATGATTAAAATCTTTTCTCTAGAAAATCTTCCATTTCATTTTCGATATAACAAATGAAATCGTGAAATCAATTAATTTCCTTTTAAAAATCCATATGTAATGAAATATAATTTTCATTTCCTTAATCTATCCAACAATTCATTCAATGTGTTGTTTATCATGAATGGCAAAACTTATTTCTAGTGATGGCTCAATTAAGAAAGTTCGAATAAATACAATTGTTTTCAAAGGCTGTTTTTATTTGACAATTAATATCTTTTGTATGTATGTATGTATGTATGTGTGGATGTGTGAGTGTAGGATTTATTTAAGAAGTGAACTAAACAATAAAGCTGATTGTCTGTTGTGATTTCATTTAGAATTAAACTCTGCTTAAATCTGTCCTAATTTCTTTTAATGCTATACATATACAATGAGATGAAACACGTCAAGACAATTTTCATTCTGAATTGGCTTAGCTTACTAAGAACTGATACAATAGAATGACAAGGTGAAACATTTATAGAAGTAAATACGTATGGTTTCAAAAAAAGTTTTCAGTCTTACTTGACCATTAGTTTAACTGTTTAAATTAATTTAAACCATTAAACGAGGAATTTGTCATTTGATTATTTAGTGATTGATTTCGAAATGATTTCCTTAGGTCCTGATGAACCAACTGACTAACTAGAAAAAAGAATTCATCACGACTGATATCACTTTTAAGGAAAATGATGAATTCAAAGACTTTATAATTAATTAGCAAAGATGGTTAGTGGTTAGCAGTGGAATCCAGGACTCGCGTTTCGTTATTTTTAGGATTCGTCAGCTGGATAAACCTGCATCTTAGAGTTGATGTTCACTCTGGGACTCGAACCTAGTACGTTTGCTTCAAACTTCATCGCGTTATCCACTTAGCTACTGAATCCTGATAGCCACTTACTTATGCAATAGGGTGAAGTTTTAAATTCACCTGATGTTGTTTACTTGTATCTTCCTATTGTTATTTACGACTGCAATTGATCAGTCTTATATTGGCAATATATGCGTCATGGATTCCACTGCTAGCCACTACCCATCTTTGCTAATAAAGCTTGTGATCTAAGGCAATATCGAAGCAATCCTCACAGGATGCACATATGCCAATATGAAACTGATCAATTGTAGTCGTAAATAACAATGGGAAGATACAAGTAAACAACATCAAGTAAATTTATAAAGAATTATTATTAAGTATTAATATTTCATAAAATTTCTTCATCGTACTTCTATCTGTGACATTGTGTAGAAACAATTCTTTTCATTTTTAATATACAGGAAGCATATAAATAAAGCAAATGACCATTAGTTGAGATGCATGAACTTGTTTAGTTATATTAATTCATCTTTTAAACAACTATCCATTTTCAATTCCATATAGTTCAAAGAAATAATGAATAAATTCTTATAGTTTTACGATCAATCTAGGTTAATCTATACAGGATTGTTAGTGGTTGAAGTTTGTTTCCAACCACAATTTTCCTCTATTATTGTTGTGGGTATTTGTTATGTCACGATAAGCATAACGAATGTTAACTTTTGAGATCCATTTATGGATTAATACTATATGTACATTTTTATCGTATAATTGGTAAATAACTAAACTATTCATATTCATACCCCTCGTATTATGAGCTTTATTTTGACCTATGAACTTTTATTATGCCATTTACCATTGTTGAGTTATGCCCTGTCTATTAATTACTACCTCCAACATTCACAGCCACATTTGGCTAATTCTTGTACAAATGTTGTTTCATATTTTATTGGTACGATGTGATCTGTCTGGTTGGTATATAAACCCAGTATACCTGAAATAAATGATTCATATCGCAGAGGCTGAGATTGGTGTTCTGGACTTAACTGACTGAGCTAGACAGGAAGCAGGACCGATAAGTACTCTAGACTGCTCTTACGTGTTTTATGCGTCATTGATCCGATCGATAATTCACTGCTCTTTAATTGGCGGTATCGCTACGTTATCCATTAACAGGGCACATAGGTCACAAGTTATAACAGTATTATATCTCCGAACTCACACCATCAACAATCAAGAATATTGATTATTCACAGATAATTGATCTACATCTAATTGTGTAATCTTTTTCAATTCAATAAATTCGTAGCAAATTCATGAAATTTTCTCAATACTATACTACTATACCATAAAATTCACTTTATAGGTTTTGTATAGTATGTTTCACTAATATTATTTATTGAATAAGGTTGTAATCTGTTACATAGATTTTAGTTACATGTAATTACTTTGTGTTTGAAGAAAACAACTAAATTATTAATTATCTCCATTTTCTTTTTATCATGATTCCTTGTATAGGTGCCATGGATGGTGTACATTAAATTAACTTTTAAAAACAAAGAATTTTCAGGGGAACTATTGTCTTCAATAACTTCATCATTGTACTCAATAACCATCAGTCTACAATTCTTTTACTATACAAGAACTTGATGACAAATTTATTAAAGATGATTGTTCATTTAAACATGTTTCTTTTTATTTGTAAATACTCCGTAGGGATCTTTAAATCGTTAAGTAAGAATTAAAAATAGGGACTTTAATACCCTTCACTAATTAGGTGAAAGTCAGTATTATTAACATTTTTTGCTTATTTATTAAGTTCTTTCATTTTGGTTCGTTTATAATTCAATACTTGTCCTTTCATTATAATATCACATTCTTTTTGGATTAACTAGATGTTTCATTGGTTGACTAGTTGAATCAGGTGATGGATTTTCTTTATCATTGAATACTTTTAATCTTGGTGTTGTTTCTGTTGTTTTTGACTGCGAATCATTTATGAAATGCTTAAAATAGCACTTATCACCATATGAGCAGTTACCAGTGGTTGAATAGTTTCGACATATTTGACTACGAAATTTTGGATGGGATTTCGGATCTCGCAGTTCTATTACACCATGTGCAAAATGACATCTTACTCCAGCTGGACAATAACCATCATGTTCTTGAAAATATCTGCATACTTGTGTTTTGTAGCGTATGTTGAATAATGAATCGTTCTTACTTTTTGAATTATCTGATGAAACCTAGACCGGTAAAAAGGAAATTATAGCTTTGATTTCTGGTCACAATGTGGTAAGGTGTTTAGCAATCTACAGAAATAAGCAAATCGATTTGAAAACAAACTCATATTGATTTATCAAAATGGAAAGTATGATCGTAATTGTTAAGAATATCCATAGATCAGGATATGGACATTGAATAAAGGTTAGCTCACAGATATCTGAGGTATTTCGAAATCTCCATAAATTAGGATTTGAATGCATACTTTTGTCTTCACAGGCCACTCCTATTTGAAGCAACGGTCATCGTACATGTAGTACTTGTAGAGTTGACATTCATAGAACGTGTTTTTAGTTATCTCGGTGGTACAGGATCTGTAGTAAGTTTTCTGTTGATCTTTTTTATGGATTATAGTCATGACGGCGGTATTTGAACAAATATATTTGATCGAGATACCAACATTAAAATCTTTGGTAAACTAGTGAAGGTCAGAAACCATTACTGTTTCTACATGCTCCCCCTACATGTTCCCCTTATTCTTGTCTTACATTAGCGTAGACAGTCGAATGTTCATCTCACTTTTGACCGTTATCGTAGCATATTTAAAACCTACTAATTGTGACATTTAGTCGTTACTTTCTAAAGAATATATTTGGCTATTATTTATTTTTGATCAAAGTTCTGTTTTAAACATCAGTACCCTGTGAAAAAATTAGGCTGCAATAAAAAATATTTAAGCTGATCCTAAACAACTCGCAAGAAGTTAAAGTTACCGCATACTCAGTTGATGATTTCCACATGTTCTAAAGGTTTTTGTTTATTTTTCCATTAGCTTCAAGCTCCGATCGCTTTGGTAAAACGAAAATAACTGATCCTTGAAACACTACAAATGCTTATCATGCCATCAATAATGAAATTTTAAAAATTTGCCTCTGTAGCATTATTTTTCGACCTCGTTTTGATTGATCGGTAGGAAGAAGGTCTTCCTATTTTGCAAATGATGCATCGAATATGGTATCTATTAAAATTGATTAGTCTAATTATGAAGTTGTTGGGAAGTATTTGGAGTTCGCTGAACGTAAACCATGGCTAAGATACACAGTTTGTGAGAGGTTGCCTCAGTAACTCAAAAGTTTTGCAAATTCATTCTATTATGTTTTTCTGATCCGAATAAGGGAGAATATAAGTACGCCAAGTTAATAGTGTTTCTCAAATTCACCAAAACATTGACTTAGTGGATGTTTAGGGACTTTCAAAAGATCAGTAGAAACTTGACAGGAATCTAGTTGGATCACTTACTGGTTAAATATTTAAAAAATTTCCTGTTACAGAAAAACAATTATATTTATGGATCAAAGTTATTCAAAAGGCTATCGGAATCAGGCGTAATTGCACATTTATTCTCACCTAGAGCAGAACTTCTTCTAGACTATGACGTCAGTCATATTTGAAATAACGCAAAAATGTGTAAAACCTTGACAAGGATCTCAAGTTACTGAGTCTAATACCTCTAAATTAATAAAACTGTGCATAACGAAACAGTCAAAAATAAAATTACCACAAAAAGACAAAAAGCTATTATTTCTCTAATATTTCACTGGTTTTCGTCTACTTATGATATCAGAGCGAGTTCGAATATGAAAACCTTAGTTCTGTCTAATGTTCTAAGTGTACAGTTTTGACTACTATTTCACAAATTAAAATTTCAAATTTGTTACCAATTCCCTATATTACCTCATACTCAACTTCAGATACAATAGGGAATTAGCTCTTTTAAACCTGAAGTACGCAAGATCAACCTCTATTTTCCACTGCCTCACACAATTCCAAACGCTGTCTGAATCGCATACTTAATAATGTAGGCTAATTGTTCAGCTCGCTTTATCTCTCTCTCTCTCCCCTACTGCATTTCTTATAATTCTGTTCAGTTCTTGATATTATCTTTAAGTTAATCTCTTTTCATTGTTGATTAAATATTTATCGTCTACAAAGTTAAATAATCGAATATTGAATCATCAGAATACCTAGATTATTCTTCAACTGAATCAATTCATCATATCTTTAGTTTCTGGTTTAGCAGTCATTTAGTTATTTTGGAACATTGTTAAAATTTTATGTGGGTGATTTTTTTTGTTAGTTAGTCCTGTTGATAGATACACTTTTCGCTACTGAACAGCAAATCAAAGATACAAAAAATCAATTGGTAAAATACTACAATAACAATCATTGATCATTTCTACTTACCTTATTTAATTTTTTCCTATCACCATAATAGGCTGAAATTGGTTTTGTTTGTATAATATAATTTGATTTAAAATGATTTACTTCTGATAAATTATTTGTTAACTCAAATGGTGATATATTTATAATATTTAAAGACAAATCTGATGAACGTAATTGATCTTGTTGATAATGATAATGATAATAATAATCCTTTATTGAAAATGATGAACTTTGAAAAGGACATAACGTTTTACTGGATGATGAGACTGATGATGATGATGATGACGATGATGATGATGATGATGATGATGATGATGATGATGATGATGATGATGATGAAAATGTGGGGAACTGATATTCAGATGGAATTGTATTAACATTTAAGCAAAAATCAGATGTATCATTATTAATTTTATGTTGGATAGAAAATTTATCTGATTTATTCAATACACTCAATGATCTATCATATTTATTAAGCAATTTTAGAAGGTTAGATTTTTCTTCACAATCAGGGAAATCTTTCAATGTATATTTAACAAATAGTTTTGCATGTTTTAAATATCCATAAGTTTCAATATAGTTCTCATATAATTCCATTAATACACGTTTAGAATGAATCAATTGACATGAATAAGATGGTGATGATGATGACGATACTAAGGATGAATAATCATTTATTTCATTATTAGTAGTTGTGTAAACAGTAGTGCTTTTACTGCAATTATAATTTGACTCATTTTCATTAACTTTATGTTTACTTTTTTTCATTAAGTAAAGAAATAATTTAGTCATTGGTACTAAAATCAATTTTTCAATGATAAATGGATCTTTTATCATGAATGTAACATCAGAATAAGTAGTTTTTAAATAAAATCCCGTGAAGCATTTGTCAGTACGTTGATTGACATTAGTATTTTTTGTCGTAGAAATAGTAACATCAGGGCTAATGACATTATTATTATTATTATTATTATTATCATCATCATCAAAAGATTGAATCTTCAATTTATTATTTTCTGTATTCAAATGCATTATAGGTATTTGTAGATAAGAATTTTTCTGTTTATTCTTTGATGTTGACAGAAATGAAGTTGATGGTAAAATGGTTTGATCATTAAGTACTGGACTATCCAATAAATTTCTTGGTAATAAAGTTGCAGTTGTAGGACTTAGATTTTCATGACTGTTAAAATAATAATCAGCGCTACTACTACTACTACTAATAGTGTCGTCAATATTAAGACTATCAGAATTAATGTTACACTTCGATTTTAATTTCATAATTTAACTCATTGGTTTTCATTGTTAAGTTGTGTTTAGATTATATTTATAATTTGCGGGTAGAACTATAAAAAAATCACATGTTAGCTTTTGCGAACATTTTCTAGCACAAATAACATGCTATGATACTTATCATCTATATATTAAATAATAAATAAGGTCAATAATTATGAATATGATTTAAAAAAAACCCTGAGTGGAACTGTTAATTGATTATTTGTAAGTTTTCTTTAAAATTACGCTGCATAAAGAAATAAAAAGCAAGTCATAGGTTACAAATATGCCGTGCTTATTACAGATTAGACTAACACATGGTTACTATTAGTCGATAAAATACGTATTTCGATTTGATAGTTATCATGTGCGTCCAATAATGCTTTTAATGTTTTACTACTTAATATTTGTAAGTAAGCTAATTTTATAATGAAATTAAAAATGTTGACATTAAAGCATCTAAGACCGAAAGAAGGTCCAATGATGTACTTGTCAGAAGAACGCTAGGCGGCCTGCTTGAATATCTGGGCTACCTGTTCCTACCATACGGATATTTCAACAAGTTATCTGTTTTCTTGTTTTTTTTTAACACATCATTATGACTATTAGTCTCATAACCTATTCGAGTACGTTTGTGAAAAATTTACGACATTTCGCTGTACAAGTTACAAAAGAGCTCAATCAGAGACATTATGGTTACTGGCAGTATGCATCGAAAAGGATATACATTTATCAGATGTCGATTCCTGAACCATTAACATCTAACTGGCAACCACTCAATATTTATCGCAAGGAACTGATCAAGAAATAAGAAAGGGAAATTCGTTGAAATACTTTGTGCTGAGAATTCTATATTGTACCAAAAATATAATATTGAATAAAGCCACTAATAATAATAATAATAGTAATAATAATAATAATAATAACCCAGAAACACATTATTAACATTAATTGTGCCTAGGTGTTATTATGAAAAAAATTAAATGTGATAAATCATACTTTTGATAAAAGTAATTTAAAGTATTCAATTACAGAAATAGCATGACTGAAAACTCCTGAAAGTTATTTCAATTTACATGAAGCGGGGAGTCAATAAAAAGCTAAAATTATTCATATGAAGAAGATTCATCTGTTATGCGAATTGCGAGATTGTATTCATATGCTTATGAAGTCTTAACTCTGTTTCCAACTAAAAAAGTGTGTTATATAAACAAGCAGTACCATATTACTAAAAATAGCTTAAATTGCCGTATATAGTTTTGCCCGGTGAACTAATTCTACACATTTTAGACTTTTCTTCTCTAGACTAAATCCTTGAAAATTCCGAGTTGACTGTCACTTCCAACGATAGCAAAAAATCCATTGAGTAAAACTAAATTTTGAAAGAGGTAAAGTACCAATTTTAACAAAAGTTGTATGATCATTTAAAACGTACACAATACATTACCGCAAATATGGGTAGTGTGTAGTTGTACTAAATGTGTACATTTTTATCTTATTATTGAGATCAACAAAATTCTAGATGGAAACAGAGAAAGATAACTTTATTCTTACAGTTCTGCTTTCATCATTCAGGCCTTATGATATTATGTTTAAAAGAAACATTGAAACTACTTAACCTTGATCAGATATAAGTACTGAAGTGAAGATATAATATGGCTGCAAGAATATATTTTCATTCATTCTAATAGATCACCAGTAATACATATGTATTTACTCAACATTTTACTACAAAAACTTCCTATCTTATCACTTTAGTTTTTGTAGCCGCTATTTAGCAAAGTCGTTTACTAGCCTTACTTCTACATTTTATTATGATAATCAACAATCCGAATAAGTGCATTACTGTACCAGTCGATAAATTACAGTTCTATTTTAACAATAAATAATAAAAATTAAAGGTAACTAAAGTTGAATTCCCTTTTTGTTATTCTTAAAATAATCAATATTGTCCAGTAACACAGTTATAATACATCCTAAATGCACAATTGATACTAATTAATATATCAATTAATTGGAACGTACAAATTATGCAAATTCGGTTATTAATTTGTCATATACTGGAATGAATTTCGAATGTCAGTGTACATAATATTTCACATTTTAATACTTAGAACATAATCTACAAGTATCAAAGCTAAAAACATAGAAATATCCAACAAAATTTTTACTCATTTCGCTCAGTTTCGTGGATCAGTTGAAATTAGACATTAACACCGTTGGATGCCGGCTCAGTGGTCTAGTGGTTAAGCACTGATAGGTCCTGGGTTTGAATCTCGCAAAGTGGGATCGTGGATGTGCACTGCTAAGGAGTCTCACAGTAGAACGAAACGGCCGTCCAGTTCTTCTAGGTTTTCCATGTTGCTCTAGCTTCAATCGATTCATGATCTCAACTATTAAAATTATTTCTATCTGTTCTACGTACTTAGTTAATTGTAAATATTTTCATTAATCAGTTAATTTCATATCTAATCTGTACTATTCAATGATGACTAGTTTACAAGAAATAATTTCATTTATTCATCCTAATTCCATTTAACTTATCATCTCTAAAACAATACGTTACAATTGTAATCATATAACATGATGTTTGTAATACAAAATTAGTCAGTGTAATTCATGTAGTTAACAGATTGGATTATAATTAAGTAGTAAATTAATGTAATTAGTTGTTTATCATTTTTGAAATAACTTAATGCAAAACTCTAGTTAACTTTTCATTAATTGATTGTTCATTTTATAAAACTAATTAACTAAATAATGGTGACAGTTATAATGTAGCTTCTTATTATGCTATTTATTCATAGAAGTAATGAAAAACAAATTAGGTTAACATCTTAATTACATTCGCGACTGAATGTAATATATATATATATATATATATATATATATATATATATATATATGCTTCAAATATACTTACTTCTGTTACTCCTCGTCGAGGAGTATAGGCCGCCAACCTGTACTCTCCATCCAACCCTGTCCTAGGAAATCCTTTCCAGCTCTTTTCAGTCGTTATTCATCCTTTTCATATCTGCTTCTATTTCCTAACGTAGTGTGTTCTTTGGACTTCCTCTGTTCCGCTTCCCTTCAAGATTCCAAATAAGGGTTTGACTCGTGATGCAGTTTGGTGATTTCCGTAATGTACTTACTTACTTACGCCTGTTACTCCCGATGGAGCGTAGGCCGCCGACCAGCATTCTCCAACCCACTCTGTCCTGGGCCTTCTTTTCTAGTTCCATCCAATTCTTGTTCATTTTTCTCATATCTATCTCCATTTCTCGGCGTAATGTATTCTTTGGTCTTCCTCTCCTCCTTTGGCCTTGAGGATTCCATGTGAGGGCTTGTCTTGTGACGCAGTTCGGTACTTTCCTCAATGTGTGTCCTATCCACTTCCAGCGCTTTTTCCTGATTTCTTCCTCCACTGGGATCTGATTTGTTCTCTCCCACAGTAGGTTGTTGTTAATATGTCCGGCCAGCGGATCTAAAGTATTTTGCGTAGACAACTGTTAATAAACACTTGTATCTTTTGAATGATGGATTTCGTAGTTTTCCAGGTTTCCGCCCCATACAATAGAACTGTCTTGACATTTGTATTGAAAATTCTGACTTTGGTGTTGATTGCCAATTGTTTTGAGTTCCAGATATTCTTCAGTTGTAAATATGCTGCTCTTGCTTTGCCAATCCGTGCCTTCACATCTGCATCAGATCCACCGTGTTAATCGATGATACTGTCCAAATATGTAAAGGTTTTTACATCTTCCGAAGCTTCTCCGTCAATTGTGATTGAATTGTTACATGATGTGTTGTATCAAAGAATCTTGCTTTTCCCTTTGTGTATATTGAGACCTATTGCTGCTGAAGCTGCAGCTACACTGGTTGTCTTCTCCTGCATTTGTTGTTGCGTATACGACAGAAGAGCCAGATCATCTGCGAAGTCTAGATCATCCAATTGCATCCTATCTGTCCACTGTATCCCGTGCTTCCCTTCAGATGTTGACGTCTTCATGATCCAGTCGATCACCAGGAGAAAGAGAAAGGGTGAGAGTAAGCAACCTCGCCTGACACCGGTCTTTACTTCGAACGACTTTGTCAACTGTCCTCCATAAACGATTTTGCAGTTTAATCCATCATAGGAATTCTGTATGATATTGACTATCTTCTGAGGCACGCCGTAGTGTCGAAGAAGCTTCCATAGGGTTGTTCTGTCCATGCTATCAAATGCTTTTACGTAGTCAATGAAGTTGATATAGAGTGATGAATTCCATTCAATTGATTGTTCCACAATGATCTGTAGTGTTGCGATTTAGTCTGTGCACGATCTATCCTTACGGAATCCTGCCTGTTGGTCGCGAAGTTGTGCGTCTACGGAGTCCTTCATCCTGTTTAACAATACCCTGTTGAAGACTTTTCCTGGTATTGAGAGAAGAGTGATTCCCCTGTAGTTGTCACAGTTGCTGAGATCTCCTTTCTTTGGTATTTTGACCAGAAGTCCTTCTTTCCAGTCTTTTGGTACCTGTTCCTCATCCCAGATCTTTCTGAAGAGAGTTTCGAGTATCCTTGCAGTTGCCGCTACGTCTGCTTTCAGTGCCTCTGCTGGAATACTGTCTAGTCCTGCTGCTTTGCCACTTTTGATTTGTCTGATAGCCATGCTGAATTTTTCAATTGTTGGTGGGCCAACATCGATTAGGAGGTCCGTGAGTGCTGCTTTGATGTTGGGTGGGTCCAGTGGGGCTGGTCGATTCAAGAGTTCTTTGAAGTGTTCTACCCACCTGTTCCATTGTTCTTCAATGTTGGTGATTACCTTGCCTTCCTTGTTTTTCACTGGTCGTTCTGGTTTACGGTGATTTCCAGAGAGTTTCTTTGTTGTATCATACAGTTGTCTCGTTTCCTTCTCTGGCAGCCTTTTCCGCCGTCGTTGCTAAATCTTCCACATATTTACGTTTGTCAGTTCTGATGCTCCTCTTCACTTGCTTGTTTACTTCTGTGTATTCAGCCTGTGTCTT